AGGAAAAACACCGCAGACATCCCAGCCGGCCTGATACGGGTGACATGCTGCTTCCAGTTGCCAGTGGCAGGCTCTGTTCGGTTGTGATGCTGCATTGGCAATACTCGGCCATCAGCAGACCCATGCAAGTGGTCCCAACAGTACCGTCACTACCGCGGCTTTGTTGAACTGGCCGAAAGGTCTTGAACTGGTCTTGAATCTCAAAGGACACAATCAAATGCTGCCGCCACGGGCAAATGTGAGGATGGACTCCTCTTGGCTTCCTCCGCGCGTAACCCGGGAGCCTCAAAGGCATACTGCGTAGTCGCAAGGGTAAGGCTCCAGTGGTCCAGTGCAGTTCCACTGGAGCTGTGGGCAAGCATACCCCTTTTGGTTGCGCCACCAGCACGAATTCTGAGGCAGAACTTTGGCAGGAGTGACTTCTCCTTCCGAGCTCGCGCTTCGAGTCTCTGCGCTCATCAAGTCCCAGCACCCCCACTTGGCCAGCGTATGCCTCGACATTTTAGCTAACAGGACAAAGAAGATATGATGAAAAGGCATGCAAACTTCAGGCATCAGCCAGCCGGAGAAAGGTCTTGAGTCCCTCATGGTTTGGCGCATCTGTACCTGCCGCCGCATGGCTTTTTCGGGAGGCGCCAAGCATACATCTGCCACGAAGAAATAATGCTAACTCGAGAAACCCTGTCCAAGACACATCCTGATGGCAGCTTGTTTCTCTGGACTCTGCAGTGAGGGGCACTAGTTTGCTAAAGAGCCCTAGACAGCATGCAGCTGCAACATGCCAAGATCTTAAAGCACTCTTTTCCACCCCTCCTACACTCGGCGCTTCCATTCGAATGACAAACCCATTCCAACCGAAGTGCCGACTGAGCATGCCTCACCACAAAGAGCTCCAGCTGGCCAATGCTGACATGGGGAATCAACACAGCACGGGAACATCATTCTTTCACTAGCTGCACCACACCTGGTGGCTGCATGCCTACCTCGGCAAACAACAAAGCTTTGTCAGTTCCTTTACCATTGGCAACCGGATGTCTCTTTGAGTATGTGACTTTTGCATTGAGGCAAGAGATTGAAGAACTCATGCAGTCAGTCTGCAACGCTGCCAAAGCTATAGTATCGTGCAAATCGCACCGGAGTTGCCGGGAGAAACTACATGTGAGCGCTGTGATCTATGGTTGAGGCATTTGGTTTCGGCTGCAAGTGCTAATTCAAGTGCGCCGCCAGATCCAACTCAGTTCCTCGACCTAGCTGGATCGGCTTCAGACCGTCTGCGCTTGGCCGAGGCTAGGGCATATGGAGCCCTGCAAGCCAATACAAAGCCGACAGCCTGAGCAACAACTGGAATTGCCTTCCCATTCTACCGGATGTTCGGCAAAGCGCCGCGCCTTCTTCATTTGTACAGGGCCATTGATCTGCGTGGAAATTGAGATAAGACAATTGAGGTTGTCTTGGGTGTGAGAAATTTTCAATTCGTCGCTCCTCATGCATTTTCATTGCAAGGGCTTCCCCTCCTTCTACCGCAAACCTGACCACCCGTCCCATGACACAGCTGCTTCTGTCGCATTCCTCATGCCTGGCTCCAAAGCTACGTCTAATCCAAAGGCGACACATCTGATCCAATGACTGTCACCGATTCCCCAACCCGGTGACCTGCACGCGTCGTTTCCAACGGCTTGGGCAGTTGGCTCGTGCAGGCACACCGCCCTTTGTGTTGGCTTGCTGAACGAAAGCTGGGTCCTGCTATGCGGAGCACGGGTTATTCTGCGAACGCAAGCGCCGGCTTGCTCAAGCACCCGGAAGCCCACTCTGCACTGACTTTCAGTCCTTGACGCTCACTGAGACCTTTACACCTTCAGAATGGGAGGGGCAGTACTCATAAATGTTTACATCCACACAAAAGTTGGCACCATTTTGATCCATAAAAAAGGGGGAGGGGACGGTTGCAGCCGCAACAGGTGAAACAGGGGTGCGTGGGACAAGTAGACAGCAGCAGCATAGGTGCATGCTGATCTGCAGTCCCCAGCAGCTGAATATGTGACACGTAAGGCACATTCCTTGATACTGCTTCGGCAAGCAAGCAGTGATTGGATACAAAGCCAATCTTCTTACAGCAACACAGTAGCAAAGCCAATCTTTCAACATGATGCCAAACATGCTCAGCCTTGCCGCAGCTTGGGCCTATGGCTTCAGCCTTCCCTGGAAAGCCGGTGCTCGCGCCGTCCGAACAGCTCAAGCCAGCTTCCAAACCTCGGCTCCCATGGCCGTAACGCATGGGCCCCATGGCCTCCGCAAAGGGTGAACTCATTCCGCTGGAAACCTTTCGAAGAGAACAATGGCCAAGCGTCAACTTGCAACGCAAGTTTCACCGATCCGAGTGATCACACTCAACGGCACAGTGCCGTTACCTCAGTGCAGCAAGGGCACCAGTCATACTGGAAGTCCTCAGGGACTGCTGACTCCATATTGAGCAAAGACAGAAACCATGATATTCCGATGACGTGGCAGGCAAGCTGAGTCTGGTATTGATGACTGTACCGCTATAATACACAACACGGGATGCCTGCTCTTGGACCTCCTCATCCGCGGCGGCGCGTCATGATGTCTTCGTCTCCGCTGACACTGCCACTGCGACTTGTGTCACTCACCGCGCTGGATGAATCTGTCCTAAGGCATTGGGACAGTGCAGCCGACCAAGGCGGCTTTGTGAGAAAAGGCCCCAAGCTTCCGCTCTACCCCGATATTTGTCCCTGCCTACCTCATGACCATGCACAAGTCAACCTCATGGACCTACCACTCTGACAGCACGCGCCTTGCTATGCTGCCGCAGGAGGCCGGCCCTGAATCCGGGAGACACTTGTGTCAGTTCAAACGGTAGCAGAAAAAGCCTGAATCGGCTCGCCTTCAGTACATGAACACATGGCGCTCAAATCAACATCTGCTGAAAGGCGCGAAATCAATGCCCACACAACACACAGAACGCCGGGGTTTGCCGTCACCTTGCACAACGCAAGCCCTGCCTGGTGATGGCGGCGAGGCAAGCACCTCGATCAATAGCTGCCGTGTGCTGGGTGGGTCGCATTGCATTGAGATTTGATGGCATTTGTAACATGGACCCCGGTATCGGTCACCATCTGAATCGCTGGCGTTTCACTTGGGGGAAATAGGCTGACCAAAGCAAACACAATTGCCCAAAAGGACGGGCCACATTTCCCCCTCAATGCACAGCTGCCTCACCACGCAACGCTGCCCAGGACTGGGCCTGCGACAAATGCTGTTTTAGCTGTGTTTGTGACAACTACTCCTCCCCCAGCGAAGTGCAGGCTAAAACTCACGAAACCGCGCTGGCCCAGTGGAGATTACTCTACCAACATGGAGCCCATCAGAGGAAATGGTCTTCCATGAAAGCCATCTGTGCGCCAAGTCAGGTCGATTTCCTGAAGTACCATAGCTTGGGCCCTGCCAAACGAACAGTGCATGATTACACTTGGCATCCAGCAAAAGCGGGGTGACTGTTGGCGTTTGGGGGCAGGGTCCAAAGCATGGCTTGAGACACGCGCCTGAATCTCCGTCGATGTGTTGAGCACTCGCCGCACCCAGTAGCCAGTCATGTTTCCCACGATGTTCATAGTGACACCTGCCACTGGGTCAGCTGTCGCCGTATTCAGCGCCATCAAAATGGCAGGATCATGAATCTTGCTAGCTCGATTGTTGCATTGATATGCATATGTACATATATACATGTTGATGTATACATATGTGTTGTCGAAAGGACCATGAGGAGTGCAGGAGAGGGTCAATGCCCAAAGAACAAACCATTCGAGTCCCGGGAGTATGAATGCTATCCCCAGCGACGGCGCTTTGACTGATTTGAGATGTCAGCTCTGGCGATGCATTTTCTTGTGTTTTCCTGGATTGACAAGCTGCCACAAAGAATCCTGCAGGACAATAACAGTGGCCCTTGTCTCCTGCTGTCTTCCACCTTGTCTCCTGCTGTCTTCCAGTTAGCATTGAACATACTGTTGCATCTGTACGCGTGCATTTTGCGCATTATGGCTATTCAGGTACAAGGTGCCCCTGTGAGAACACGAATGCGAGCGCATGTTTGTTCAACTTTGAGGCTCTTCCCTTCCTCACCGCTGCTGCTCCTCCCCAGCTCTTGCTCGATTTTTGAAGGCCCTCCAGACCCAACTAGAACGAACACTCTGAGAGGTTGCTTGCTTGCAATGCAAGTTCTCGCATCCAGCCTCTGTCGCGCAGCGGAGCGTCGGGCGGTGTTGAATGACTTTGCTTTGCCGTGCTCTATGGCCAACAAATATGCAGTCAAGTGATGTACAGCTTGCCTGTTACTGAGTGACCGTGCAGTGGTGGGCTCTTGCAATGGCCTCAGCTGGACTCATGAACAACTATACACATCGAGCGAGAATTGCAAGGCAACCATGCAGCAACTGATTGAAAGCCAGGCCCCCGACACAGCTGACGCAGTCTACAAATGCACCGGGCTGCAACAAGCCCCAGCCGGAGTGCGCGCAGGAAGTGTGGCGATCACAACGGGTCACTCCAATGGCACATCTCTGAAACTCGAAATTGTGACATATCAATCTGCACAGCATGTCTCAAAACAAACACGGGGATGGTTGAAACAAACACGGAGATGATTTAGGCGCCCTCACAGACTCACCATATTAGGTTGGCTTTGTCAGGAACACAGACATTGCGGCACTCTTCTAACATCTCATGCACACAGGCGGTTCGGCCACTTGTTTTGCCACGCTGTTTGACAGCTTCGATTGTGGAAATTAGTTGGACATAGTTGGACCAAGATGATCTGCCGAATCAAGCCTTCACTGCCATCAAGCTTCGCTAGATCGTTTGATCGGTAGCTTAAACACTTGACACAGTGAAACTTTGGCACGGACTCTGACGTCGGACATCTCGCTTTCCGTATTCTGTTTACGCTCCTGCAAGCAGACGTTGTATTTCAGGCTTCATGCCGAATAGGCTTCAGCATTCGGGAGAGCGAACCCTGTCTTGATTGATCAGTCAGAGCCGATCACTGAGCGCTGCAGGATGTTGCTGAGGTGCTCGGCCATCTTAGCCTGCATTCAGCACGAAGCCATTTCCCCCCCCCACTCCCCCCCTAGCAATGCGCGCCTGGCCCGCGGCAATGCCCAGGCGCACCGCACAATCCTTCTCAGCCTGGGCTTGGGCTGAGGACGTGATGCGCAGTACATGGGAGCAAGGCCTCGTGGTCGCCTTGCTCTCTGGCGCACTCAATGGCCTGAGCAAGACATTCATCGGCTTCGATTCACTTCGTGAGATCGGAGACAACCCAACAATTCAGCTCATGAGGTCAATCCGGAGAACCACAACATTTGCCTGACCATGGGATCAGCATTGCAATCTGAATCATAGCGCTGACCAAGCAAAACCAAATCACGCACACAAACAAACGAAACTCTGCACATACAATTAAATACATACACTGGTCACACTATCCCTGCTCGCTTTTGAATTTTGGGCACGTCACAAACGTCACTTCTCTCATGCGCAATCAAATCCCTGAGGCTGCAGCCCTTTGAAAGTACTCGACGCTCTGCTCATTCTGACCTCAAAGCGTGTGACCTTTCCGCAATGCTATGCACTGAATGATTCATAGCTTAACCAAGGCATGAAGCCATCAGCCACCTGGCGTGAGCCCACGATGTTGCACACTCGCACGCCTGCACACCATATCCCCAAATATCCGCCAGTTCCTGAAACTTGGGTTCACATGTTGCAAGTTGCTCTTTGAATTCAAACCAATCTGCCTCCCCGCAAGCAAAACCAATGTCTGCTCCGCATCGCGGCTCAAACAAAGGCTCCATCCGCTCCAATGCCATTAGCATGCCACCAGCATTGCCCGAAGGCACCACCCAGGCTCCGGGCCCTGCTGACTGGCAAGGATGCCCAACTTCTTGAGGGCAATGGCCTGCGTAGCAAGTTCACAACCTACCAGCGTCAATGCTGGCAGCAGGACCAACAGGCTGCAGTACGATGCTCGCTCATTAGGATGCCCCGCGTTACGTTTCAGCAACATTCAAAAGGAGCTTATTTAGGGTGTTCTGGGGCCATTTCATGTAGATGTTCCTGTAACCAAACCCTTTGAAACATGTTACGGCGAACCAGCGAATGTGAAGATCCTGCATGCCATCCGTCCACGGCCAATCACCGCTTGCGCCAAAGTCGCCTGGTTGCGCGTCTGCTTCAGGGTCGCGCACAGGTCAACGTACCGCTCCACCAGGATTTTCATCTAAGGCGGTTTTGGGCCGTGGTATCAAGTCTGATGGCTGGCACTAAATGTGACAGCGACGAACCCGATGGTTTCTTGCGAAATGCTCCCCAAAGCCCCTTCCCAAAACATCGGTTTTGGCGCTTGAGGGGAGCTGTGCTTTTTTGGAGGGTATATTTTTGGTTGGTTGGCTGCAAGGGAAACCAAAGGGAAGCCACCTTTCTTGCAGACACTTTTGACGCAAGTCCAAAAGAGCTGGCCGGTCCTTCTCCGGCTCCTGGTCGTACATGCCCGCGCTAAAGCTGAGGCTGCCAATGGCCTATGCGCGCGCAGAGGCCACGTGAGCCATCAATCGCGCGGTCAACTCAGCGGTTGACGCAAAGGACGTGGGATGTTTTGACATTTTATGCGGCCGTGGCATTCTTCCCCTGGTTGCTGTGGGATTGTCCGCCCACGTCCCTCCAAAAATCATGGACTACCGATGTGGTTTGCCCGACAGTTAGAGGGAAGCTAAGCTAAAGTCAACACCCAAAACACAGCAACTCGAATCCGACAAGTTGGTGCCATGACACGAGGGCTCAAGCGGACCACGGGCTCTCAGCTGAGTGCTCCGCCAAGCTCTGACCTTCCAAGCTGTGCAGCTGCAGGGCATATCTCAGTGCATACCTTGGCCGAACCGGCTGCCCCGGACGTAGCTGGGCCCAAAGTGACCCTGCATGTGACTTCTCGACGTTGGCATTATCTAACATCGCTGGGTCTCCCCGCTGGTGATTCACTGTGGACGCCTCCCGCTCCCCAAGCTGTGCATAGGCAAGCCTCGCGCAAAGGTCTGCTCAGTGCTGAGATGTGCTGAGCTTGCAAAGGCATCCAGTCATCTGAGCAGTTGCAACCTTTGAAGAAACATCAAAGATTTGATGCCCAAGGACCAAGGCTGGCCCGAGTCGGTGAGTCCGACGCACCACTCCTTCCCGGCACCCTTTGAGGACTCCTTGCTGAGCTGGCGGCCCCATGTTGAGGTGCGCTACGAACTTGCCGATGCTGTCGGCATTTTCTCGATGCCTCTCACACTCCGTCGTCTTCCAAGCTCTATACTCTCTGCCCTGGTGGTCCACAGGCCCCTCGGCTTTACCAGCGTCGATCAATTTCGGATGCAGGCTGCTGATATCACAGCCACTGTAGCAGCTTCACATTGCAAGCCGTCCACACTACGGTGAAGCTCTTTGCCAAAGCATCGAGGGCATGACATACATTGTCAAGGATCCACAGGTCTTGCGGCCTGTTTTGGCCACATGCATGGCAAGTGCACCCTCTGGCCTGTTGTGGTAGTGGATTGCCTTCCTGAGCAGCTCAGGCCTCGCAATGAAGCGACGGGCTGCGGCACGGATATATGCACGGTCAATAGGGAGGGAGGTGCGGTGCAAAATCAGGCGCAATGCGGTGACATTGTTTGCATCTCTATGCCCCCGAATCAACCAGCCTGACGGCCCTTTCGGAGGCTGGCGGCCTCGGTTGGAAAGCCGGCGCTTTGATCACATGGAGACCATTTTTGCAGATCTGAGAGCCAGGGCCCAACCGTTGCAGAGGCTCCACCTAGGCTTTGGAGGGTCAGAGGGTACGTGGTTTGTGCGCTCACGGTGTCTTGCATGCCCACCTCATTATCACATATCAGGAAAACTGCATGTATCTCGCGTGTGACTTGATCAAACGGGACTCTGCATGCATGGGAATCTTAAGCGTCATAAGCCGACCAATTGACTGATCATACCTCTCACCAGAGTTCAGCAAACTCATTTTGCCGCCAAATCCACTGAGGTTGCTATTGCCAAAGCTACCAAGGTTTAGAGCTCTTTCTGCGGACAAATCAAACTGTTGATGCTGCGGGCGTTAAACGTGATGCTCTGGTGTTGACTGCCACATCTCTATCTCTATGATATAGGTTCAACTGTCATGTCAAGCTGGACCTTTTTGGCGCTCCTTGCGGCCTCAAACCTGCCTGCATCTAAGCAGTGGTTTAAAGCCTTTATAGGAGTTCGACTGGTCCGTTTAACAATCCATGTTGCTGTTAGGTTTCAATATAAAAGACTTGTAGAAATTGACCGGCATTTTGGCACGGTTGATGTGCAACCTGGAGCCAGGATGTAGGTTTGTTGACTATACTAACTTACTCAGAAATCCAACAGTGGTATCGAGGCCCGCTTGATAAACATGAGTGATGTTGAGCACTAGGGGGCGGCACTAGGCGGCAGCCCCAAAATTATGGTCAGGTCAAGGACTGAGAGTAGGTTGTACTACACCAAGCCACGAATGGACGGATGCTTTCCGCGGAAAACAAAGAAGCTCTTGGCCTATCAGGTCCACAGGCACCCCGGCTTTGGGGCTCTTCTGACTCGCCGCCTCAGGAAAGTTCGGAAAAATGGGCATCCTGAGGCATGAATGCGGAATCATCTCCCGCCTTTGCTCACTCCGTTTCCTTGCAGCTGGTAGTCGACCTCGGCTCGCTGACCAAGCCTCCCGCCTCACGCACAGTCACACGAATAATCGCCTTAGCAAAGATTGCCTTGCATGCCTACAATAAGGGCCAGAATACTTAGAAAAGGCGCAGAAAATCAATCGGTTCCTCCTCATGTGGGAATCATGCTGTTCGGCACTTAGCCCACTAAAAAGCCACCATGTGTGTAGGCAGACCCCCCCCCTTTTGGATATTGAGTTCATTTGTGGCGGAAAACCAGAGCCGGGCCGGCTCCCAGTTGCCCCAGTTGCCCAAGTCTTGGACCCCAACCGCAATGCAGTGATACCCCAGAGCTGCTCCTTGGCCATCGTTGCACTCCTTGCACACCCGAAGGAACTGGGTGTAGGCCTCGATGGCCTGAGCGTCTGACCCAACTCTTTCATGAAAGAAGAAAACAGAAAGTGTTCCAAGGAGCTGCACATAGCCATGTTTTGGCGAACTTGCTATGAGTTCCGGCGGCTTTGGAATATTTCAAAAGGATACAAAAGACCTGGTCCTTGTTCCGGGCAATGCACCTGGGGTTTGGATCTCAAGTGCAAGGAGTGGAGACCAAGTCATAGCAATGGCGTCTTGGGGGACTCGGTTTCTCCGGCCAAAAGCCGACCGTCGGCCTTCTGGTACTGCCCCAGGTTGTCGCGCAGCACCCCCAGCGAGAAATGGGCCCGGCCCTCCTCTCGGAGCTTGGAGGCGCGCCGACACGCGAAGGTCAGCATCTCCAGGTCCTTGATCTTCCGCAAGGAGGTGGTACGCTCCTCCGGTGTTGCCGGCCGACCATGTCAGAACCACCGTGTTTCGACAAAACAAACATGGCATCTGCCTGGAAGACCCAAAAATTCTCTGGGCCTCCATGGGCCCGCTGTGCCAACCCATCTTGCTCAGGCCATGGGTCATGGTCAAAGTCTGGTGCTGGTTTTGAGTCAAGAGTCCTCCGGCAAAAGCGGCTCGCCATCTGGACGCCTGGTCCAACCGTTCAACCCTGGAATTGACGTGCAAAAACTGGATAGCGGAAAACCACGTGTTGCTAGCTACGACAAACTCCTGCCAGCTCATGGTGACATTGTATTTGTTTCTGCAGTTTAATTCGCCTTCTGAATGTACTTCAAAATAAAGAAGTAAACTGCGTATACTGGTGGTGACTGACATGCTCTATGAGATCAGGCATGCCTGTGTGTGTGTGTGTACATTTTAGTCTCAAAGTACTTTCCTTCTTCACCCAAGTGGACTTGGGAACTGAGGGTCCCCTTCTGTTGTTCTGAAGAGGCTGGGTGGTCATCCTATGTCAAATGGGCTACTTGTCCCAATGATACTGGGGTCGAAAATAATGGAATCCTGACAAGTGGAAACGTGTTTCTCTCAATGTACATCAGCTTCATCACTCAACAATATCGATGTGAATATTTTTTGGCGTTAATCATAGCGAGCTCACCTAGGGGAAAAGGAGCTCACTCATGATGCAAACATCTTACTTGGAGATGTCTTGATTCCGATTGTGAAGTATGTCAATTCGTGCAGATATGTGCCGACATGTATTGTGTGTGTGCCTGTGCGGATGTGTTTGCACGTGTTTAGCTTGGCAGTATGCATGTATGTGTGCATCAAAGCTATGCGAATGCACAGAATCATCTGCCCGTACATTTAAAATGCTGTGTATATGCATGTGCATGATGTGTATGTCCTCTGCCATCTGAATGTGTCTGTTTGCCTTCAAATGCATTGTACATGCCATCTGTATGTCTGCCTGCGATTGTTCACGCATGAAAACCCGTGCCATCACAGCATTCTGCAGCCCTACGTCCGTGTGGGTCACCATTAACATATATGCTGTTCCTTCAACCGTCATGGGACAATTCGAGAACCCCCCTGGCTTTGTCGGAAATTTGGAGCGCGCGTGTCCCTAAGAAGTTGACCACTGGACATGTTGACTGAGTCTCAGGGATGTGTGTGTGTGTGTGCGGAGTGGCAGAATACCCTGTCACCACAATTGAGCGCAGGGGGCAGGAGCACCATGGCAAGTCTCCTGCCAACGAAGACACTTGCCATCGGTGGTGATACTGGGACTGATCATCCCAGCGTACCTGCGCAACTCGTGTGATTCAAAGTCCTTTTGGCCCGTTGTTTCTCTCGCTGTGTGTGCTTCATGTTGAATTTGTAACGTTTTCGCTGCTAGACGGAAACCAAGTGACTGCAAGCCGAACCTACACCCGCTCAAGACTCATCAGTTGTACTCGAGACTCATCAGTTGTACTCGAGACTCATCAGTTGTACTCGAAAGATTAGCACCCTCCATCTGGAGTTTAAGTGTGTACACCCCATTCGTGGGGAATCCTCGGGTGTACCCATTGTGTGACCCCGGGCCGGCTCTGTCGGACAATTTGACCTCAACGTGCTTATCATAGATCAGCGGAATTTCACATTTAACCAGGAACGAGGTTTCACTACAGGGAAGACAGCCACCTCTTCATAGCTACGCTTCACCACGCTGGCTGCCGCTGAGCTTTATCATTTTCGGACGTGTTGTTGTTTTGTCATGTCGCGTCGGGATGATCGTGACAGATCCAGAACTCGGCGCAGACGGGATCGGAGTCCTTCCCCTCAGCCTCGCAAAGCACGCCGACGTGAACACAATGACAATCAGGTCTCGGAGGGCATGGATTGGAACAACTTGGTATCCTGGCAACACACTTCGGGCTACAACTCCAACAACACCTTTCCAGTGATGCCAGGCAATTATCAATCGAATCCAAACCCTACGCAGCAATTTCATCATTCACCGGTCAACTACATGATGCCGGTTCCTCCGGAGCCCGCGCCAGCGACGTTTATGACGCCCGTGATGCCACCACCGGTTACTTCTCCCCAAGCTTCGCCATCGCCTGGACACCCAGCTGCGCTGCCAGTTCGACCTCAGAAAGCGTGGCTTACTCCACCGGTTGACTGGACACCTGGTGATGGCACGCTAGACATCAACCAGCTCTACTCCTTTAGCCTGCCCATGACGGTTGCCAGCACCCCGCACAACAATCTACGTGACATGTCTGGCATGGACATCCGGGACGTTCGCCTGGTACAGGTCATTCACGGGGGTGTCACCTCCTGGCTACTGCGACCATTTGCTCACGGCAGATTCGTGACGTGGGATGGATTTCGCACTCGCACTGAGGCCCTGCTTTGGAGTATACCTGGGATAGGGTCGTACTTATAACTTGAGTTATAAGTTACCACAAGTGGACTTATAACGTGGGACAAGTGGACTTATAAGTTTGCTAAGTCCGAGGATAGTTATAAGTTACTTGTCTATGTTTAACTTAGATAGGCCCACTTATAAGTTCGAGCTAAGTTCCGGGTGCCGGGACTTAGAATGAACTTAGCTGGGACTTAGCTTTTTAGCACCATTTGAGGAAAACAGCCTTCGGTCATTCAGCGCTTGCGAAGCAATGTCCCAAACGCGTCTACCTCGCTGAGTCTACGTGTCTGCCTGCGTGCGAAAAAGCACGCGTGCGCTACCCCTGACATGTTGCGGACCACATCGCTGAACGAGAGAGAAAGCCTGACACCGGACTACGCGCGCGCGCATCATTTTTCGAGACGTACGGTCGCTCCCGGCTAGACCGCGCAGGGCGGAACACGGCGTAGCGGCGGCGGGGCCGCTTCCATGTTTGGAAAACACATCGCGGCAGGACCGCGCAGCGACCATCGCGGCAGGACCGCGCAGTGAGCCATCGCGGCAGGACCGCGCAGCGAGCCATCGCGGCAGGACCGCGCAGCGACCATCGCGGCAGGACCGCGCAGCGACCATCGCGGCAGGACCGCGCAGCGACCATCGCGGCAGGACCGCGCAACGACCATCGCGGCAGGACCGCGCAGCGACCATCGCGGCAGGACCGCGCAGTGAGCCATCGCGGCAGGACCGCGCAGTGAGCCATCGCGCATGCAGTTTACGCTGTTTGTTCGCGCTGCTTCGCACGCTTGGCTCGATGGAGCCGGAGCATTTTTTGCACTGATTGACTCGGTTTAATTTTGTTGTCCAATAATCGTTTCTATAGCGGTGTCTCCGCTGGCGGCCGGTCCGCCTTCATATAGTCGCATGGGGTGGTTTCTCCGCCGGCGGCCGGTCCGCCCATTTTGCTTTTCTCGTTTGATGATATATCATTGTAGCGGTGGTTCCGCTGGCGGCCGGTCCGCCAAGCTTTTTTTGCCACGTTCATTTTCATTTCGAGATGGCACTTGAAGCGGTTGTCCGCTGGCGGCTGGTCCGCCCAGGAATTGTTCGGCATGATTTTTATTTCGAGATGGGACTTGAAACGGTGGTCTGATGGCACCTTGCGATTTTTTGCATGTTTGGATTGTGAGTGCGCGGGTGAAAGGCTGCAAGACTCAATCAAGGCTCCAGAATCCAGACTGCTGACTGCAAACTCCACACTCCAGACTGCAGACTCCAGACTGCAGACTCCACTCCAACTGCAGACTCCAGACTGACTCTGCAGACTCCAGACTGCAAACTCCAGACTGCAGACTGCAAACTCCAGACTGCAGACTCCAGACTGCAGACTCCAGACTGCAGAGTCCAGACTGCCAACTCCAGAATCCAGACTGCAGACTCGAGATTCCAGATTCCAGACACAATGACTCCTGGCTCCAGGATCCTGATCATTTTGTGGTGGAATTCGGCCACGGGGCCAAGTTAAGTTATGTTAAGTCGTGGTGACGCAACTGGGACTCACGGGGAAAGTTTGGCAGTTAAGTTGATTGAGTTAAAATAGGGACTCCACGGCTCCACACGACCCGCCCAGGTTAAGTTAAGTTAAGTTTTGTTAAGTTCGAAAAAACTGCACCGGCCTTTCCGGGCTTTGGGGCGGGGCTGTCTGGATGCTGGATTCTGGGGTCTGGACTGTGAATTCTGGAGTCAGGAGTCTGGATTCTGGAGTCAGGAGTCTGCAGTCTGGAGGAGTCTGCAGTCTGGAGTCTGCAGCCTGGAGTCTGCAGTCTGGAGTCTGGAGTCTGCAGTCTGGAGTCTGGAGTCTGCAGTCTGTCTGTGGAGTTTGCATTCTGGAGCCTGGAGTCTGCAGTCTTGATTCTGGAGTTGGCAGTCTGGAGTCTGGAGTCTGCATCGGGAGTCTGGAGTTTGCAGTCTGGAGTCTGCAGTCTGGAGTCTGCAGTCTGCAGTCTGGAGTCTGCAGTCTGGAGTCTGCAGTTTGGAGTCTGGAGTTTGCACTCTGGAGCCTGGAGTTTGCAGTCTGGAGTCTGCAGTCTGGAGTCTGGAGTTTGCAGTCTGAAGTCTGCAGTCTGGAGTCTGCAGTCTGGAGTTTGGAGTTCGCAGTCCGGAGTCTGCAGTTTGGAGTCTGCAGTCTGGAGTCTGCAGTCTGGAGTCTGCAGCCTGGAGTCTGCAGTCTGGAGTCTGCAGTCTGGAGTCTGGAGTTTGCAGTCTGGAGTCTGCAGTTTGGAGTCTGCAGTCTGGAGTCTGCAGTCTGGAGTGTGGAGTTTGCAGTCAGCAGTCTGGATTCTGGAGCCTTGATTGAGTCTTGCAGCCTTTCATCCGCGCACTCACAATCCAAACATGCAAAAAATCGCAAGGTGCCATCAGACCACCGCTTCAAGTGCCATCTCGAAATAAAAATCACGCCGAACAATTCCTGGGCGGACCAGCCGCCAGCGGACAACCGCTTCAAGTGCCATCTCGAAATGAAAATGAACGTGGCAAAAAAAGCTTGGCGGACCGGCCGCCAGCGGAACCACCGCTACAATGATATATCATCAAACGAGAAAAGCAAAATGGGCGGACCGGCCGCCGGCGGAGAAACCACCCCATGCGACTATATGAAGGCGGACCGGCCGCCAGCGGAGACACTCTATAGAAACGATTATCGCACAACAAAATTAAACCGAGTCAATCAGTGCAAAAAATGCTCCGGCTCCATCGAGCCAAGCGTGCGAAGCAGCGCGAACAAACAGCGTAAACT